AGAATTCTTTTCTCTTAGTTTTTCAGTGTCATAATTCATGCAGCGGCTTCAGACATTTTGCAAGTTTGCTTTGGGAAGAATACCACTATTAAAAGCAGTAGTGAAGTAGCGAACGTTTTCCTTTGTTTGAAAGTTTCCATTTAGTGTTTGCGTAGTTGATACTATATTCAGCTGTGGTGTTCAAGAGAAAGAATGTCAAGGAACAAGAAGAGCAGGAAGACCCACAGGAATCTGACCCAGTGTATGACTAGTTTATTTTAGAAAGATCAGCATGAGGCTAGTCCTTTTGAGTTGGAGGTTAAAGATATTCCAACTGTCCAACTTTTCCAACATGTCATATTACTCTATAATACTTGATATCAATGACCACTCTTCCCCTCCCTTAAGTTCCAAAGTTCTTCAACACTCTGCAACGTTTTACTAAACTCACAATTGTCAAAGGAAAGGACACACACAATTATGGAGACTGGCTAATCCCAAACCCATAGTTCAGAGACCATTCTGAAGGAATCTTCTCACCCATGTAGTCTCAGGACTTGAGGAACCCGTATCAGCAGGTCAGACGACAGGCTTTTGATGCATGAGGTGGGAGGAACTGGTGAATCATATCAGGTGATGAGCCAAAAGTCTAGCAAACCAGAGGTCAGATGTAGTGAGTCAGATTCAAGATTCAGGGCAAGAGAGTGAATTTTCCCGAAACAGCTCTTTGACTTGGAGTCAGACCATGTTCCCAAGGGAAACTGAGACTTGTGACTTGAGTCACACCCTCTAGTAGGTGGCAGCATCCTTAATCCTTAGTGATTTGTTGTTGTTGTTGTTAGGTTCTAACTAGTTGGTTCAGACTCTTAGTGACTCTGTGCACAACCGAATGAAGCACTGTGTGGTCCTGCACCTTCTTCACGGTGGTTGTTATGGTTGAACCTGTGGCCGATACCACTGTGCCAATCCGGCTCATTGAAGGTCGTCCTCTTTTCAATGACCTCCACTTTCCTAGCATGATGTCCTTCTCTGGGAACTGATCCTTTCTGATAACATGCCCAAAGTCTCATCATCATGGCTTCTAATGAGCTTTCTGACTGTACTTTTTCCAGTACCGACATGCTTATTTTTCTGGCAGCCCATGGTACTTTTAATATTTTCCAGCACCAGAAAGGAAATACATCAATTCTTATATGGTCTTCCTTACTCCTTTGTTGTTGCTAAGTGCTATCGAGTCAGTTCCGACTCATAGTGACCCTGTATAGAGTTTCTTAGGAGCAGCTGATGGGTTTGAACTGCCAACCTTGTGGTTCACAGTCTAGTGCTGATCCGCAGCGCCACACCAGGTGTCCATCCTTACTCCTTAGTAACTCACTACCAAATGGGTCTATAATCACAGACATGGAGGCTAGGAATTGCATCAGAGAATGGAGAAATTTGACTAGAAGGGCATAATAAACAATGAGCTGCTCTGCACTCAGGAATGGCTTTGTTACTTAGTGTTTCTATGGCTCCTGGTGTATAGATACAGCAAGCAGCATTTATTAGTCTTTGGAACTGACCCTTGCATTTTTCTGCCAGTTTTCAGGGGTAAAATGTGTCAAGAGGAAATTTTCTTGACATTCAAATATCAGTTAGTCTTGATTGTGCTAATATTGTGCAAAACTTTCACTGTGGTAATTTCATACTATGTAATCATTACTTAGAGAGTCAGCAGAATTGTAACTGTGGAAAACAAGAATGTAGGCACAACTCAGACTTTATTTATGTGATGCTCATTGAGACCATGAAACATGTTTGCACATCTTTTAACGAGTTATTTGTGCTGTAGGAATTTTGGTTTTGAAATATCTTTACAAACATTTAAGGCTTCTGGATTTAGTTTCACTTGGTTGGGACCAGCGAACCACACATTCTGTAGCATCTTCAGGGGTATTTATAACCTATAGGTTGATGCTACTATGGTAACCCTAAGATAAGAGCGAGGTCATTTCTCTTTCTTCCCACTCTGTTCCTCTCTCACTCAATAATTATGGATTTGTGTGGGATGATTTAATCTAACTGGTAAATTACCCAGGACCAGGATTTTTCTTATGGTCTACCTCTGACCATTTCCTTTCTTTCTAGATCCACGTCTTATCTCTGACTGCTTTCCTGCTGTTAGACTCTTCCAAAACCTGCGCTGGGTATAAAAGTTGCTGACAAGCCCCTGAGTCCATTTGACCACTTAGGGGCAGCTCTGAGGAAGACTGGGTGTGGAGAGGACACAGAGTCCTAGAGCATGGAGGGTCTGGATTTAATCTATCTCCCTCTCTCCCAGTCCTCCTCATCCCACGGACTGTACTAAAGCTTCTTTCACATGGAGAGGAAAAATGGGAATTGGTCTGAACAGAGACAGAAAACAAGTTCACCATAACATCCTCCTCTGTCTGCCTGAAAGGTGGTGTTTGGCCACTCTCTGGGACTAGACGTTCAACACTTACCTCAATTGCCACTTTCATAGGAAAGGGGACTTCAGAATAAATCTTATTGTACTCTAGTACATCATATTCTTCATGTTCTAGAGGTCTGGACCTGGAGTCTGGTGTGATGCTATAGAATGAGCACTGAACTTCTAACTGTAAGTTGACAGTTCGAACCCACCAGCCGCTCCTTGGAAACCCTATACAGGTTTGCTGTGAGTTGGAACTGACTCCATGGCACATAACAACAATAACTGAGGTCTGAACCTGGTGTGTTACTTTCTGAAATCCCTCGACCAACTTAGGTCTCAATTATGCAGGATACATATTCATTGGAATCATGACTAAGAGAACAAAATTCTTAAGCTCTTGGACTGCTCAAAAACCAGATCCCAAACAAAATTCCCTCATTTTAGCTAAACACACACATATATGTACACACAAAAACAAAATAACAGCATTCAACAAAATACCAACCCTCCAAAGAAATGACTTTTAGATGGGAGAATCTAAATAGATGTCCCAATAGATGGGAGAATCATTTGAAGTCATTTAGGGTGCTGAGGAAGTATAGCACACCTCAGTGTCTTTGTTCTGACGCTCTTGTACTAAGGGTGGGATGAAGGATATTCTGCCTGCATGTTCCACAGCACACCTAACATCCTGTCAGTATTTAGGAAAATCTGTCATTTTCCCCCAAGACCATCCAGAATTAAGAGACAGATTAAGGACCAGGGTCTGGAAAACCAGGCGCCTGCAGTCTCCAAAATTCCAGATTTGGAAGGATTTGAAAGTTCAGGCTCTCTGCCATGGAAGTGCATAATTCCTTTCCTCTGGACATTTTGGAAGGCTTTCTGCTTTTTTAATCTCCTGATTTCTTGTTTGTGACCAAGTTCAAATTCCAGAGGGGGAAGCAGCCAATATGTGTGATTATTTCCTCTTGCACCAAGTGGAACTAAAAGAATGAACTTACTTCACTAGGAATAAATGTGCCCTTTGGACCTTAAAATAAAATGAGCATGCATGGTCGATCTGGTCCCTGTGCCTTTTGTGCAGTAATTAAACACAGAAATGAAGAAAGATGTCACAGGAATGTATTCACAATCTTTTTTTAGACGCAAGGCAGAAAAAGAAGCGAAAGAATCTTTAAAAAGAATCTTTTCCTCCATACGCCCTTCTGCAGGGAAGGCTGCTTGGTAGAGAGCAGACTATCCCAGGATCTGGTTTGACTGGCGATCACAGCTCAAAGTCTCTGTCTCTTTTTAAAATGTGATTTTCTTTATTTTGCTCTGGTGTTGAAAATATACACAGCCAAACATGCACCAATTCAACAACTCCTACATGTACCATTTGGTGACATTGATTACTGAGTAACCCCTCTTGCCCCCCCCCGTTAATATAAATTCACTACCCTCTAAGTTCCTTTCTAGTCTTTGGAGTTGTTGTTGTCATTTGGATCCCATTTTGATGGCTTTGAAAGTGCACAATACTCAAGTTAGACAGTCTTTACTAGTTAAACTAAACTATAACTTGGTTTTAAGAAGGCTTAAGAAGATATTTTTGATTAAAGGTTTAAAGATTATCAAAGGGTAATAGGTACAAAGATTTAGCCAATCTCTATGACTCCAGGAGATCTGGAATCCATGAGAATTTGAAATTTTGTTCTGTATTTTCCCTCTTTAGATCAGGAATATTTTATAGGATCTTTAATCAAAATGTTCAGTAATGGTAGCCAGACACCGTCCAGTTCTTCTGGTCTCTTGGCAAAGGAGGCAGTTGTTCACAGAGGCAACTAGCCATACATTCCCCAGAAGCCCAGTTGTGCCTTGGATGGCCACGTGAAAGCTTTGATGGCCCCAGGCACTCACATCAAACTAGGAGATAGAACAGAAGTACTAAACATGTTATTAGACCAAGTAACTGGGATGTCCTTTAAAACCATGGCCCTCAATCTCCAAACCAAGGAATCAGATCCCATGAGGTTTTTGGTTGTACATAATCAGCCTCAGCAACTGTTCTTTCTGTCTTTGTTATAAATACAGGTGTATGTGTCACACAATTTTTGCCAATTCAACTTTTTATAGGTGTACAGTTTATTGGTAATAATTATTGTTGTTAAGTGTTGTGAAGTTGGTTCCAACTAATAGCGATCCTGTATAGCATTTCTGAGGCTTAAAATTTTGCAGGACCAGAAAGCCTCATCTTTTCTAGGTAATTAGAGACGTCCTGGTGTGGTGCTATAGGTTCAGGACTGGACTGTGAACCACAAGGTCAGAAGTTCAAACCTACCAGCTGCCCCTCGGAAACCCTATACAGGGTTGTTATGAGTCAGAACCTACTCGACAGCACTTAACAACAACAACAAACATCATTATAAGAAGACAGTGTCCTTAACAGGAGAGACCTGGGCATGCCAGGATGGGTTAAATGCTAGGATCTCAACACTCACGAGACTGCTTGACTAAAGAAAGACTCTCTTACCATTTCTGGGAGCCATGGGGAACAGAGAGGAACATGGGGGCTTGTGGAACTATGTCTCATCTGTGTTCTGTCCTTTAGGTGACCTCTTCAGTGTCCTGGAGTTCCCGTTTCTGTATTTCTACAGATTCCACAGCAGCTGCTGTGCCAGGTAATTTTTAGCTACAGAATCCATTATTGTATTAATTTGTTGGGGTTTTTTTTGCACAGCCATATGTGTTTTAGTCTTAGTGCATTTGTGTTACTGTGTTTTTATAACATGTTGTGGCAGGGAGTGGTAGTGGGTGTGAGGGAAGCAGCTCCCTCATCTGTCAGCACGTTGTTTCTGAGCACCTGCAGGTGCCCATGCTGTGCTGGATCCTCTGAAGACCCCTGCCCTGCAAAAGCCCCTTGGCCTGGGTCATAAAGAGCTCAACTCCTCCCACTTTTTTTTTTTTTGTCTCCACAAGCAAATCTTACCCAGAGTTTCAATATTTGCATCCAGAATTCTGTCTCCTCTGCTTCCAGCTTGGGCTCCCTCTCACTCCTGAAGGCCACCTCTCAAAAACCTCCACTGAGTCCCAAGACTTGGAGAAACAGATGGAAACCAATGACTAGCAGATGTCTAGACCACACGGTGATGGTTGATGTTTGGCCTTGGGAAGTCCCCATTGATATAGGCCCATTGTTGTTGTTGTTGTTAAGTGCCGTCAAGTCAGTTGCGACCCATAGTGATCCTGTATAGGGTTTCTGAGGAGCACCTGGTGAGCTTGAACCACTGATCTTGCAGTTTAAATGGCTTTGCAGTCTGGTGCATTAACCCACAGCGCCACAGCAGAACTCCATAGGCCCATGAATAGAATACATTTAGATATACACAGTTCATATTCACCCTGCCCCCATTTTCTTTTCCTGATCTCCATTTAACTTAACTGTTTGTACTGAGAAGTAGAAAGATGCCTGGGAACCCTCTCAAAGCATGTATCCTGACATGATGTAGTAACCAGACTTGGGATGAAATCTTGCTGCTTGCTAATGGTGTGGACTTAGGAAAGGTTATCCAAGTTCTCCCAAGCCTTAGTTTTCTTATCTGTAAAATGGGAAAGCAATTCCATGGCAGGGTTAATGTGTGTGTTAAATAAGATAAGTAAGGCCTTGTGCATTGCCTGGTGGAATAAATAAGGACCATTATCTGCTGAGGTTGGCTGTAAGTAAAATGCTAATATATCATGAGCAATTGCTATATAAAAATTCACCCAGCTACTGCCACACATATAAAACGGCATCTTGTGAAATATTGATTTTTGACAGTGAGCTAAGTTGTCGATATGTGGTCAGATACAGTTTTTGAGGAGAGTAAGCCAGGTCCCTCAGGTGTGTTGGGGCAAAAAAAAAAAAAAAAAATCAATATTATAGAGTTTGGTTTTGCCTTTGAACCTCAAAATGATTATTTATTTTCTTTTGACCTTTTTATTGTAGCTTGAGTGAAAGTGTACAGAACAAATTAGTTTCTCATTCAATAATTTTTCATCATGACATTAAATCCCCTCAGTGATGTGTTTACCACCCTCAGAAATATCTCAGGAGTACACTGATAGAAATGATCTTCCCGGTGCCTTTCGGTGAGCTCAGCTGCGTTCACTGAGCTGAGAACTGGGAGTGCCCAGTGTAACCGCAGGCCTGCACTGTCCATATGGACTTGGGCTCCTGGGTGAATGGATACTTTTATCAGTAGGAAGTAACACAAAGCTGGCCTCTAGGAGGCAGACATCGAGTGTAGCTTCACTTTTCAGCTACTCCATTGTCACCCTCAGGTGGTTCTAAACTTAGAAGGGGCATGGGGACCTGAAAGGAAACTGGTGAATATGATCAGTAGACGCAGGCTCCTTCACTCCCGGGATTCTCCCTGTTTTATGAGCTGCCTCAGGAGCCCTGGTGGAAGAGAGGTTTATGCAGTGGGCTGCTGGCTGCAAGGTCAGCAGTCTGAATCCACTAGCTGTTCTGAGGAAGAAAGATGAGGTTTTTTGCTTCCATAAAGATCGCCAGTCTTGGATAACGGTAAGGAGCATTTCTACTGTGACCTACAGGTTGCTGTGAGTAGGGATTGACTTGATGGCAGTGGATTTGGTTTGGTTAGGGTTTCCATAGCAAGAGGGACAACAGCTGCAGGTAGAAGGAGAAAGGTAAGGTATCCATGCACAACGTAGAAACCATTCACACACGTTTAAGTAATGGGAAGACTCAGCAACACTGTCCTCAGCATGTCACTCACAAACCCCAGTAGCCTAGTCCTAGCCCAGAGTCTGTGGTCAGGAGAGAGTCCAGTTGGGATCGAGAAAAGAGGGAAGACTGAGGGGAGGGGAGTTTGGGAGGTTGGGCAGGCATTAAGTGCAAGGTGACTTGAGAGCCTCCAGGGAGCCCTGGAGATTGACCACCATGGTTTCCCTCCATGCCTCCCCTCCTTGCTCCTTTCCCACTCTCCCAGGAATCCTGGAGTCTAAGTGAGTCTGTGCCTGTCTCCTTGCAAGTGAAGTGAGATTTGGGGAATAGGCCTTCGTTCTGTTCTGAAAGGCTCTGATTTCCACAGAGTATGCCTATTTTAAGAACATAGAACCTGAGGCAGGATAGAACCAAATTCTATAGAAACAAACACAGAACCAAATGGGGGATTTGGTTAAGGTCGCAAGGGGCCGTGAATTCAGCTAAGTCCAGATCACTTGGTTTCCTTCCTGCCACTCCTTGGAAACCTTATGGGGGGGGGGAGGGGGAAGAGGGAGGGTGTCTCTATGGGTTGTAACTGACTCAACGGCATTTAGTAACAGCAGTTTACCCATGAAGGTCTCTCTGCCTCTCTGTGTGAATGACTTGATGTCTTAATCCTTAACTGTCCAGTTGTCCATAGTGGCAGAAACTGAACAAACTGCAAACCTCCAGCATCCAAGATGCTGAAGTACGCATAGTAGAAACCTAATGTCTGTCTCTGGTCCTGCCCCAAGAATGTGGCCATGTACTAATCTAATCTAATTTCTGTGAAATTTGGCTTTTGCTGTGCTTAGTCTCATTCGACCTGCTTTCTTCGATTGGATAAGCATTTCTTTACTACCCAGCCTGATGAAGGACACTGTGTTTAGATAAACTCTGTGGGGAATCCCCCCCAAAAATCCCCAGCATTGGGTTTCTGCCTCTGAGTTTAGGCACCCGTTACTATGTAGCAAAACAATAATTCCTACTCATACCTACCCTAGAAGACAGAGTCAAACTGCCTCCTGGGATTTCCAGGACTATTTATGGATGCAGACTGCTTACAGCTTTGTGTTGTGGAGTGACGGGTGGATTCAGAAGGCCACCGTGGTTCCAGTGTAGTGCTGTGGGTTAACGCGCCAGACTGCAAAGCTGTTTCAACTGCAAGGTTGGCGCGGTCCAAGCTCACTAGTGTCTCCTTGGAAACCCTATACAGGGTCGCTATGGGTTGGAACCGACTCAATGGCTCTTAACAACAACAATAACAGAGGTCAGATAGTGGTGAAGTGCTAGAGGTTCAGGAAGCACAAATGAAATGTGCTTCTCCTGTTTGGGGTACAACTGATCCTCTGGTTTGGGGTACAACTAGTAAAGTCTCTTGCTTTTCACTTTCCAATAAAACTCACATACAAGCCACCTCCTTGTACATATTTGCAGAAAGTCAGCCTCTTTCTCTGGAGTCATCCTTTTCCCTAATTTTCCAGCTTCTAAATGTCTGTTTGACGCTACCTTTGCTTGGCCTTGGCCATACAGTGACACATCTGACAACGGTTCCAGTGCACACCACTGCGTCCCTGTCCCCCGCTGTGCCACTGTCCTTGCTGGTTCCCACCTCAAAATAGCCCAGGGAGCTGCCCTCACCCCAAGCTCCCTCTGTTTGGGATCTTCTATTTCACACACATGTTCCAAGGCATCACCTACAAAACAGAGTGTCTAGGTAGATCTTCCTGGTGTGGGACGTTGTCCCACGTGTTCCTGAAACCCACTCTCCCATAGGGTGAGTTTCCCTTTGGGGGTCTTTTCCTGGCAGTGTGAGCTTCCTGGTAGAGCTTGGAAAAGACTGAAGCTGGACATTGGCATGCACGAAAAGTTTCCAGAGTAATCTGGGAGGGAGAGTGAGGTATTGCCCTCCACATTTTTTTCTTTCATGATTTAGCCAGAGACCTCCCAACTTTCTATATCCTCTCCCCACCTTCAGTGAAGTGTTCTCAATATGTTTTGGTAGGTTCCGTGGAATTTATCACAACCCATGTGGTAGAATAGATCAGCACCATAGTCTATAATCTCTGCCAGAGTTGGTTTCTAGGTCTTTCTCCCACTGAGTGGCCATGTGGGTTTGAACTGCTACTAATTGGTTAGCAGATCAGCACTTAACTGTTGTGTCACCAGAGATTCTTGCTCTCACCATACCCACTATTAAATCAATTCCTACTCCTCACTCATTCACGTCAGTTCCAATTCCTAGTCACCCGATAAAGTGTTTCTGAGACTGTAACTCTTTATGGGAGCAGAACAGTGGGTGGGTTTGAACCACCAACCTTATGGTTAGCAGTCTAATGCTTATCCTATAATGCTACCATTGCCCTTGGATGAGTCCTTGGAGCTTATTTTAATTTTGCATTTGTGTTCATCCAAAGAAGACAGGTGAGATAGAAATTGTATAATAATTAACAATTGATTGGCAAAATATAGCAGAAAATAGTGAGCTGTTGGCTAAAGAAAGACGAGCTTCACTAACTGAAGACTATGTTCTCCTTTCAGTGGATTTTTAGGGTTCTTTCTCATGTTCAGCACAGTGAAGCTCGAAAGCACCATGGCCCCAGGGCAGTGTGCAGCCTGGATTTTTCTTGCTAAGGTAAGAGAAGGGAAGGGCGGGGAAACCTTGTAAGTGTTGCCCAATCCTGTTCAATGGAAGGGTACATCTTCAAGAAATCATTTTAACAACTGACCCTGTGCCTGATCCTTCACTAAGTCAGGAAAAAATTTCTGAGGATTTTATCTAATTTATCAGCATTAACCTATTCAGCCTTTATCACACCCTTTGAAGGTGATCTTGAGTAAACCCCTTTGCTTCCCTGAGCCTTCACTTCCCCGTCTAGAAATCTCTAGATCCCTACCAGGTTCTAGGTGCACCAGGCAGATCTTGTTTTCTCTTCCAGCAGACTGTCAGGGTACCTCGCCCAAGAAGACTCAGCCTACCAGAGATGATAGAGAAAAATGACCATTTTAGGAAAATTTGATCAAGTCTTAAAAAATGGGATTGTTATAAGACTGCCCATCATGTATCTGAGTGACCATGGTTGAAGAATAAGAAAGGTGGGAAAACCAAGAAGAAATTGGAGGAATGGAAAAGCAGCTGTGGACTGCACAGTCTACACTCAAATGCTTGGGATGAACTCTTGGTACTGGATGACCTTGTTTCTTTACTGTCTGTGGAGGGGTCACATTATGGGACCCTGGAGTCTGCTCCCAAGGAGGGAGATTTTGCCATTAGTTAATCTAGTGAACTTGTACCTGTAGCCACCTATCTGCTCTTTGGTTTTTGTTGCTTTTTTTTTTTTAATAGAAAACAAAACCAAACAAAATACTTTTCTTTTACAATCAGACTTCATAGTGATATTTTCACACTATTGGCCTACTTTTTAATAGCATTAGCATCACTGTCCTAGCAGAATGTAAAGAATGGTTGGGATGTTAACTTCCAGCATGATGCACTAATAAGTTGACAAATCCTCTTTCCAGAAAGTAACTGGAAAGCTGGACAAAATAGTCAAAAACAGCCTTTTCATCTCTCTAAGAGTCCTGGTAGGATAAGCACCGGGCTGCTAACCACAAGATCAGAGTTCAAACCCACCAGCCACTCCTCAGAAGCCCTCTATAGGGTTTCTATGAGTAGAAACGGACTCAACGGCACTTAACAACAACAAAGTGACCAAAAGGCACATGACAGACTAAGATGCATTTATTCATAAAAACTATTAATCTTTTGGTTTGAGTGTGTGTGGCATTCTTGTCTAGGGTTGCACACACTCCTTCCTCCCCAGCTCTGTCAGTGTGATAGCTCATCCCCAGCAGGACAGGTTATTGGAGCATTGTTAACAAATAGGAAGGGCCAGCGACTCTACACGCTTGAGCTTATAGTCCTGTTTTGGGCAAGCAATGGACCAGTGCACTAGCCTAAGATTTAATAGGTAGTTCTGGGAGGTGAGGCATCAGAGGGAGCTGGATTGTTCTCTATGTGCCCCAGATTGACTTTAAACTGTGTTCATGAGCAGCAGAGATGGAGTAGGCCAAGGCTGTCCATACATTGGCCAGTGGTGTTTGCATACTCCCACAAAGGAGATGTGAGAGATCGTGGCAGAAAGGGAAGGCCAGGGCAGACATGAAGACAACCTGAAGTCTGTATTCTCCAGCCTGCATACATAATCAGAAGCAAAAAGAAGATGCTTTATTGAGTCGAGGTGTTTGAGTATAACCCCTGACTCATCTTTACTAGACCATCAAGATATACAGACACAGGAAGGACCTCTAGGAAGCCAGAATTAAAAATAAAAAGGGAAAAATCAAATTAAGATATCAGTAACTATATATTTCTATCACTCGTCTGTCAGTTTTTGTACTAAAGTGACTTGCGTTATTCTGGGAGCTAGGCTGTTGTTATTTCAAATACCAACAGGCTCATCCATGGCAAACAGGTTTCAGTGTAGCTTCCAGACTTGGGAGGAGGAAGGAGGATCTGGTGATCTACTACTTAAATAATTGATCAGTAAAAATGTTATGAATAGGAACGTTATGGAACATTGTCTAGAATATAGTGCTGGAAAATGAGGCTCACAGGTTGGAAGGCACTCAAAATACAACTAGGAAAGAGCTGCCACCTGAAAGTAGAGTTGGCTTTAATGGAGTATTTAGAGTAAAGCTGTTGAGACCTTTATTTGCTGATGTGGCACAATTCAAAATGAGAAGAAAGAGCTGCAAACATCCATTAATAATCAGAAGGTGGAATGAAAATAAAATGTGAATCTACGAACATTGGAAGTCACCAGAAGTGAAATGGAACACATAAAGATTGATATCCTAGGCACTAGTAACTTGAAATGGTATTAGCCGTTTTGAATAGGATAATCACAAGGTCTACTATGCAGGGAATGACAAATTGAAAAGGAACAATGTTCCATTCATTGCCAAAAAGAATATTTCAAGGTCTGTCCTGAAACACATCACTGTCAGTGATAGAACAATAGTCATACAATGATAAGGAAGAACAGTTAATATGATTATTATTCAAATTTACACACCAATCATTAATGCCAAAGATGAAGAAATTGAAGGATGTTATCAACTTCTGTACTCTGAAATTGATCAAACATGCCATCAAGATGAATTGATAATTATTGAGGATTTGAATCTGAACATTGGAAACAAAGAAGATGGATCGGTAACGAATTTATGGCTTTGGTGATAGAAACAACACTGGAGATTGCATGATAGAATTTTTTGAAACCAAAAAACTATTCATTGGAAATATCATTTTTCAACAATATAAATGGTGACTATAATCATGGACCTCACTGAATGGAATACATAGGAAATCGATTACATCTGTGAAAAGAGATGATAAAGAAACATTGCTGATGTCAGATGGATCTTAGCTGAAAGCAGAGAATGCCAGAAAGATGTTTACCTGTATTTTACTGACTATGCAAAGGCATTCAATGGTGTGGCATATGACAAATTATTAATAGCTTTGCAAAAAGCAGGAATTCCAGAACACTTGTGCTCAAATGGAACCTGTGCATAATGGACCAAGAGACAGCCATTCAAACAGAACAAGGGGACACTGAATGGTTAAAGTCAGAAAAGAAAAAGTGTACATCAGGGTTGTATCCTTTCACTATACTTACTCTATATGCTGAGCAAATAATCTAAGAAGCTGAATTGTATGAAAAAGATTGTGGCATCAGAGTTGAAAGAAAACTCATTAATAACCAACAATATGCAGATGACACAACCTTGTTTGCTGAAAGGAAAGAGGACTTGAAACACTTACTGATGAAGATCAATATGGATTATACCTAAACAGCCAAAACCCACCAACCCAATTTAAAAAATGAGCAAGAAATATGAGCGGGCATGTCACCAAAGGGAACAGTGAAATGAAGAGATTCTCAAGATTATTAGCCATTGTTTTTGTTTTTGTGAAGTGCTGTCAAGTCTGTTCTGACCCATAGCAACCCTGTATAGGGTTTCCAAGGAGCGGCTGGTGAGCTCAAACAGCTGACCTCTAGTATCATAGTGGTTATGAGTCTAGCTGCTAACCTCAGGGTCAACAGTTCGAAGTTACCAGCTGTTCCGCAGGAGAAAGATGAGACTTTCTGCTCTTATAAAGAATTACAGCCTTGAACACTCAATGCAGGGTTGCTATGAGTCAGAATTGACTCCATGGAAACCACCATGACATACGTGTGTGTTTGTTTGTGTGTGTGTATTAAAGCTGAACAAAAAATGTACAATAAAAAATTTTAAGTGTTTGGGAGGGAAGAGAAAAGAAAATATACAAATAACTCAAAAACTAAAGCAGAACAAAACAAAAACCTACAGTATCTGAAAAAAAAATTCTAGAGGGACTCAATAGATTTGAGATATCAGAAGAAAGATTAATAGGAAGGTTTACTTATTATAAATTATCCAATCAGAACAGCAGAGATTTTTAAAATTGAAGAAATATGAACAGAGTTTCAATTTTATCAACATGTGTATAATAAGAATTCCAGAAAGAGAAAAGAGAGTGGTAGAAAAAAGAATGACTGTAAAGTTTTTAATTTGATGAAAATTATCAACTTAGTGATAGAAGCACCTCAATAAACTCCAAGTAGGGGTATAATTAAGCTGTTGAAATTCAAAGAGAAAATCTTAAAAGCAGTAAGAGAAAATGTTGCATAGTTTATAGGGAAACAATAGTATGATTCATGACTAACTTCTCATTAAAAACAATGAAGATCAAAAGGCAGCGGGTTGACATATTCAATATGCTGAATAAAATGTGTCAACCAAGGAATGTATGTAAAAGCAAACTATTCTTTAAAGTGAAGGAGAATAAAAGACATTCTGAGACCAACAAAGACAGAGATTTACTTATAGTAGCTATATCAGTATTTACGTTCTGTATGAATGCATCAGATAACCCACTCAAAAAAAGGCAGGTTTTCAGATTAAATTAAAGAAAATGTAAGACCCAGTTATATAGTGTTTTAGATGCAAAGACACAAATAGATTGAAAGTTGCTGTTGTTAAGTGTTGTCAAGTCAGTTCCAACTCATAGTGACCATGAATAATCTTTCCAAGGTGTGACTGGTAGGTCTGAACCACGAACTTAGGATAAATTAGCAGTCCAGTGCTTATCCTACAGCATCACATCAGGACTCCTACTTAAAGCTAAAGGATTGAAAGTTAAAGGCTGGAAAATAAAGTGCAAACAGTAACTATAAGAACTGCTTTCTCTAATATATTTGACTTAAAGACAAAACATTACCAAAAATGCTCAGGGACATTTAGGAATGATTAAATAGATGAATATAATAGGAAGATATAATAGTCATAGATGCATACACACTTATCCCCAAAATATATGAAGTAAAAGCTGAGCAGTGAAAGGAGAAATACACAACTCAACATTGCTAGAGATTGCAGTACTGCTCTATTAAGTACATGGAACAAGTAGCTAGAAACAATTAGAAAGAGAGACCTACACGCACAACTAGATAGAAAGCCTTGATAGAACGGAATATAGAGACTTGAACCACAATGTCAACCAACTTTACATAACTGAAGTTTATATGACAATCCACTCAATAC